ATTGGCCTTCTGTATTGCAGTCACACACTTTATCCAGGCATACTCTCAATAAGTTAGGAGTACAGTCCCATCGAATAGTGTGTGTGGGGGTCTTACTCCCGAGTAAACACGCCGTAGTTTCGGACTGCCATTTGTGTTCTGCACCGGAGCCGATTGTTGTTGTTGTTTTTTTTTGGGGGGGGGTGTCTGAACGCACACGCGTGTCCTCCCACTGCGCGGAACCGGCAATGCAAAGGTTTCTCTTTGGGCAGGTTGGCAAGAACGTCTGGGACTGGGGGGGGGGAGGGAAGAGGCGCCCCCCCACCGTCGTCCCTGTGCATTTTCATAGGGACCACACCGCAAAGGACGCCCAGCGAGCCGATCTGAGCGAGGAGGGGCGCTTCGTTCGCGGCCTCACCTCTGCCCCGGCCCTGCTGAGATGGACCAGAACCGCCGAGGCCTCGTGCACTTCGCTGCCATCGAAGACGCCGCAGCCGGCCAGGATCAGGGCCACTCGCTTCCCCATGGCCGCCTCCTCTTCCACCGCCGCCGCCTCCCCCTGCGCCCCTTCTTCTGGCCACTGCGCAGCCGCCGTGCTTAAAAAAAATAGTACCGTGACACGCCCACCCCCGGTTCGGGTGGGGGGTTATGGGGGGGGGGGTCTCCCTGGCATCCGTCACCTGAGCCGCATGATCCCGGTGCAGTGTCGTGGTTAGAGTGCTGAACTAGTATCCGGAAGAGCTGCGTTCGAATCCAATGCAATGAAAGCCCGCTGGGTGACCTTGAACGAGTCACATTCTCTCAGCCTGACCTAACTCACGGAACAAAGTTTGCGTCCAGTGATACCGAAGACCAGCAAAGTTTAACTTAAGGCATAAGCTTTTGTGTGAATGCACACTGCACACGAAAGCTTATACCTCGAACAAAACTTTGCTGGCCTTAAAGGTGCCGCTGGACTCCTTCTGTTGCTTCAGACCAACACGACGACCCCCCCCCACCCCACCCCCAATCTACCTAATGGGGTTGTTGTGAGGATAAAATGCAGGCGAGGAGAAGGACGTAAGCCCTTTTGGGTCCCCATTGGAGGAGAAAGACAGCCAGTTTGGTGTAGTGGTTAAGTGCGCGGACTCTAATCTGGGAGAACCGGGTTTGATTCCCCACTCCTCCACTTGCACCTGCTGGTGTGACCTTGGGTCAGTCACAAGCTCTGTCAGAGCTGTCCTTGAAAAAGGGCAGTTTCTGTCAGAGCTCTCTCGGCCCCACCCACCTCCCAGGGTGTCTGTTGTGGGGAGGGGAAGGAGTTTGTAAGCCGCTCTGAGACACCTTTGGGTAGTGAAGGGCAGGGTATAAATCCAATCTCTTAATATTATTTTACCCCACAGGGTGTCTTATTGTGGGGAGGGGAAGGGAAAGGAGTTTGTAAGCCGCTCTGAGACACCTTTGGGTAGTGAAGGGCGGGGTATAAATCCAATCTCCTCTCTCCCATTGCCTCGAACGGGGCCCACTCCCCAAGATACGAACGCACAGGGCTGCAAGCGACGTCGGCGCATTGCCCGCCGCAAGAAGAACCCCTTCTCCCCTTCCCTGCTTCAACGTCCGCAAAGAGCCTGTGCTCGCGGAAAGGCCCCTTGTCATGTGACTGGCTGGATGTCAGCTGATGGCAGGGCGTGCCCTCGAAATAAACCAGCCTCCGCGAGCGGTGCTGGAGGAGTCGGAGTGCTGCCTTCTTCGGGAGGATGGTGGTGGTGGGTGCAAGCGGGGGAGGGCCGCGGCCGTGGCTGGTCTTCTGCCTGAGTCCGCTGCTCCTGGGCTTGGCGACGGGGTGCTCGCGGCCGCCGCAGTGGCCCGTGCCTTACCGGTGAGTCTCACACCTGCGGGTGAGTCTGCTGCGCCCGGAAGGGGGTGTGTGTGTGGGGGGGGAGGCATATCCGCAGACCCAGCAAAGGGGCTTCTTTGGCCGGCTGGCGGGTCAGGAAGGATCAATGTTCCCTCTAAGCTGTGGAGTCTTGTGAGCAAAAATTCTGCTTTGTGAGCTACAGGCGTTAAAGTTGTGAGCGAGCGATTTGGCTGCTGCATCAATCAGTTTGCTCTGGAGCCCTCCTTCCTGAGCGGAGACAAAAATGTGTGAGCCGGAGGCTAAAAAACTATGAGCTAGCTCACACGAACTCAGCTTAGAGGGAACACTGGTCAGGATGCGGCTCTGGACCTCGGATCGGCTGGTTGGTGCAAGAGCAGAGACGCCGGCCAGCAGCGGGTACTCGATCACTGGGCCCCTCTGCCCGCAGCAGCCATCGGGCAGGGAGAGGGTTGCCAGGGTCCCCCTGGCCACCAGCGGGGGATGGGGGTTAAAGCTGTCAGAGCCAGGTTGGGGAACTCCTGGAGATTTGGAGGTGGAGCCTGGGGAGGGCGGGCACCTCAGCCGGGTACAGTGCCATACAGCCCACCCTCCAGAGCATCCGTTTTCTCCAGGGGAACTGATCCCTGTAGTCTGGTCTGGAGACGAGCTGTAATTCCCCAGGTCCCACCTGGAGGCTGGCACCCCTAGCAGGGACCAAGAATCAGCAGGGACTGAGGGAGGCCTAAGGTTGGGGTGGAACAGCCAGACCCTCAGTCTAGGCCAGTTTGGTGTAGTGGTTAAGTGTGCGGACTCTAATCTGGGAGAACCGGGTTTGATTCCCCACTCCTCCGCTTGCAGCTGCTGGATGACCTTGGGCAAGCCGTAGTTCTGTCAGAGCTGTTGGATCAAGGCAGTTCACAATCATATTCATAGAATTGACTTCTCACCTCAGCTACTCTTATCCTGTGGATCTGAACAAGCCAAAGGGCTAATTAAACAAAGAGTTGAGGATATTGAGCGACAATCTGACATCTCGAAGGCTTCCAAACTCGGGGTGTTGTTAAATATCAAAAGCACCATTGAGCCGGCAATATATTCAACTTCAGTGGAGGGAAAGAATTCTAGAAGGGCATTTGCCCTAGCTAGATGTTCTGCCCTTCCATCTGCGGTTATTCAAGGCAGGTACAATAAAAAAACCCTACTCTGAAAGGCTATGCCCATGCCTTTTAAGCGAGGTTGAATCGGTAGAGCATATGTTCTTCAGCTGTCCATTTTACAGGGAGGCTCGTCTTAAAATTATTACCCCAGTAGTCGATAGGACACCTGGGCACATTAACACAAACAAAGCAAGGCTTCACTGGCTCCTATCAAATAAGAATGCAGAGATTACACATTCAGCCGCTGAGTTTTGTGCATTAATTCTTAGATTGCGGGAATTGCATTTTAAAAGTTCTTAAATTCAGACTTCTATTTTTGTATATTATGACTGGGTTTTTTTCCTCTCCCTTACATATTATGCTTACTCTGTATGTTGGTCTTAAGACCGTAATAATACAACTAAAACTAAAACTCAAGGACAGTTCTCTCAGAGCTCTCTCAGCCCCACCTAGCTCACAGGGTGTTTGTTGTGGGGAGGGGAAGGGAAAGGAGATGGTAAGCCCCTCTGAGACTCCTTTGGGTAGTGAAGGGCTGGGGTATAAATCCAATCTCTTCTTCTTGGTAACTGGCATTTGTTACTCATGTAAAGCATTTGTTACTCATGTAAAGCAGACAGACTGACTTTGAACGGGTGAAGGGGGCCCGTACTGACTCAGACCACTGGTCCATCAAGATCAGACTGACAGCAGAGCTCCCGGGTCTGCCTGGTCCATGAACTGAAGATGTCAGAGGTTGAAACTTGGGATGCTAAGGAGACGCTCTACCGCTGAGCCGTAGCCCACCCCTCCTAGCTTAGAGTGCTGCTGCCCTCCTTTGCCTTGCACGTGCAGAAGGGGGGGGAAGGGTTTTTTTATTGACTTTAGTGCGTTTTTTAAAAAACGTTCTTCCAGAAAATTCCAGGTAGGTTTACCTTCTGCTTTGCATAATCACCACAACCCTGTGAGGAGGTATGTTAGGTTGAGTGTGCGCGAGAGACCCTGCCAGGGTCACCTGGAACGCTTTGTAGCAGAGGCTGGATTTGAGTCCAGCTCTCTCGGGTCCTAGTTGTGGAGTTGGGTCCCTCTACGCTGTGGAGTCCTGTGAGCAAAAATTCTCCTTTGTGAGCTACTGGCATTAAA